AGTCAGATACATAAAGTACGCAAAGCACAACACACTACCACTCCGCAACGCGTCAAGGCTGTTGTATCCGCTGATATGCTGTTTACGTATCGTCAAGGCCTATCGTCTTGCCTCTATCACATTGCTGTTGTTCAACGTGGGGTTTTGTCTTAGCCGATTCATTCCATTCAGGTGGCATGCATGGCGGTATATTCACTTCTTACTCATATATAATTCCTTAAAAACTAAGCGCCTCAGTTGTTAAGTGATGACAATTTAATCACATTTTCTTTGTACTTTTAGAACATACTACGGTTTCAAAACAACCGCACAAATTATGACTTGATCACAGAAACGCTCATCTTCCTCGATATCATCTGCGGTAGTACCAGTGGAAGCTTGGGTCTGCTTCATGAAATCAACGAATACAACGTATCACTAATCAATCAGACCTTGATTTCTCTGACCGAGTATTGCCAAGGCCCCTGTCATGAAAACCAGGTGCGCATGCGTGCCAGTCATTCGTCGACCACACCACATTGGCATGTCGTTTGCTATCTTTGTATTATTTGCCTATTTTTCAGAATGCTGTAGCGATGCATGAAGCGAACGGCTTGGACATGATCATTTCACTGGTACTGAACGAAATTAAACCCCTTGTTGATCGCAGTGTCATGTTGGCCCTCGAGATCAAGGTACTCATTATCTCATCTGCATAATATTCAAGTCTGCTTTTTCCTATGTTGGACCATTATGTTCTGTGTTCATGTGATAACTTAATCCTTCTCATCAAAGTTTTCGAAGAATTATATTTGACGATGAAACAACGGCAGAAAATTTGTTGCCTTTTAAAAATGGCAATCAAACACACTTATCAGCTGACTAGCCCAATAAGTCGCAAGTTTGCGCATTCAAAAACCGACAGTAAATTCTTTGGTCTGCATCGTCTGTCAGTGGATAGGAAAGGACTATAGGAAAAACTTTCGAACAAATTTCTTTCCAATTTTGGTCCTCTAAGCGCAGTTGAGCTCGTGCAGCTCAGATTTCTTGGATAACCATAGGCAAAGTGCAGTTTGTGATATTGTATAAGTTACGCAATGACCCATACTGGCTGCCCAATGCTTACCCTCATTATCTTGTGTATTTGCTGCTACATAAATTCTGGAAAGTGCATTGAATTCCTTTGCAGAGGGGAGGACTAATCAGCGATACTGTTTATGGTGTTTTTGCGGTCATGGTGCATCTTTTACTTTGTTTTTCATCATGGTAAAAACGGTGTTGTAACTTGTGAAATATGAGGATCTTCTTAACTTGCGTCATATTCTGGTACCCACCGTCGAACGTGCTGTATCAACTCAGCTTTCGCTATAAAATTTTCGCACACTCACGGTTTTTAAGGACACTCTCAACTGTTAGGAGCTGCCCTCTGCGTATTTCTCAATGCCAGAACCTATTTTCCTGCTCAGCAAGTTTTTGCTAGTCTTTACGGCATCATTGCATTAAAATTTCCTCACCATTGCGCCAAACGTTTTCCTTTCTTATTGCATTTTCTCTCAATAGCTAATAAGTAGCAATCAAATGTACGATTATTAGCCGTCCTATTCAAACATTAAAAGCTGTTATGAACTTTGAAGCTTTCCGTTAGCGAGGTTCTGACAACCCAAGTTCACAAAA